ACCATATGACCCAGCCAGTCTGCTCTCAGCTCTCAGCTGTTGACCCAAGAGCAATGAAAGCATATGTCCACACAAAGACTTCTATAGCAGCTTTATTTGTAATAGCTAAAAACTGGAAATAACCCAAATGTCCATCAACAAGTAAATGGAAAAAACAAAGTGCAGTACATTCAAATAAAGGAATATTACCCAGCAATAAAAAAGGATCAAACTATTGATAACAGAATGAAATCATTAAACCATACCAAAGATAGTACATGTTACATAAGTTCATTTATATAAAATTCTAGAAAATGCAAACTAATCTACAGTGACAAAAAACAGATTGGTGGTTACTTGGGGATGGGAGGTGAAGGAGGGAAGTTTGGATTACAAAGCATCATGAGGAAACTTAGAGTGATACCTTCATTATCTTTTTTTAACATTTTTTATTGATTTATAATCATTTTACAATGTGTCAAATTCCAGTGTTCAGCACAATTTTTCATTCATTCATGGACATATACACACTCATTGTCACATTTTTTTTTCTCTGTGAGTTACCATAACATTTTGTGTATATTTCCCTGTGCTATACAGTGTAATCTTGTTTATCTATTCTACAATTTTGAAATCCCAGTCTATCCCTTCCCAACCTCCACCCCCCTGGTAACCGCAAGTCTGTATTCTCTGTCTGTGAGTCTATTTCTGTCCTGTATTTATGCTTTGTTTTTGTTTGTTTGTTTTTGGATACCTTCATTATCTTTATTGGAGGGATAGCTTCATGGATGCATACATATGTCAAAACTCATCAAATTGTACACTTAAAATGTGCAGTTTATTGTATGTCAACTATAAATTAAGCCATACAAAAATGCAACCTCATCTAATTTATTTAAGTCACTCTGGCTTCTGTGAGAAAGGCCCGGGGGTTGGGGGAGGCAGGTAAGAGCAGAAGCTGGGTGGGGGTCGTTAGGAGGCTGGTGCACTCATCTGGGTGACAGATGCTGATGGCTGTGGTGATAGTGGAAATGGAGGGGAGTAGACAGATTTAAGACATATTTTGAGACTTAGAAAGACTTGCTATTTTCTCTCTTGAGACACATACCTTCTAAGCTAGCTATGAGGAACCCTGAGCCACTTATATGGGTTTCAGCTGACAACTCCTGCTTCATGGAGGTGACATGATAGGAGAGAAACCCAGGGCACTCAAGGTGGTGGACCTAATAACACTCTACCCCCATAAAATTTGGACCCCAAAAGCGAATGGAAGGTCCACAGAAGCACTACCACTTCCCAACAGACGGCAAAGCAAACTGCCTCCCTTAAACTGCCTCTTCTGAAGGGGAAGGAGAACATCCCTTGAGGATTCATAACCACAAGCATTCCTCATGAGGTTTGAAGCCCCCACACCACGCTCCCTCCCTCCCTCT